ATTTAGCATTTGTAACGAATCTAATCTAAGATTTTGTCTATTGTCAGCTAAAATATTATTGTAATTAGAAAAACTTCGCTCAACTGCACAAGAAGAAATTGGAAGCCAAATATATTCTTGAGCGATTTTGCTTAATTCTGGTAATTTTTTAGATATTTTTTCCCAAAACTCTGCTAAGTTATTATATTCAATTGTTGCCAATTCAAAATTACAATAAATTGACCATTCGTACATTAAAGAAGAAGAAGGATTATCTAATTTGCTAATAATACGATGAGAATGAATATCCTGATTGGCAGTAGTAAGACGAATAAAGGGTGAGTTAAAAATTTGTATAGCCTGAAATAAGGGTCGTGCCAGATGATGTTGAATATGATCTGTATATTTTTTATATGCAGTTTGAAAGGCTTTTTGAAAAATTAGAAGAAAGGAATCAAGTGAGTAATTATTAGTAATAATAAAATCCCAAATATCAGAAGGAAAAATAAACGATGCTTGATTATTTTCAATGTATAATCCAAGTTGTTGAATATGAGATTCAACATATGAAAATACAGGTAAATTCTGGGTTTGAAAAAAATCTAACTCGTTTACAAAAACTTGAGCAAAATGTTTAATAAAACAAAGATACACTTCGACCAAAAAATTATGTTGTGAATTGTCAAAGGTTTCAACTATTTTTTCAACCATGGAGAAAGAATTTTCATTTTTTTCTTCATAATAAAACCCGCATATATAATCAAGATTTTCCATTATATAAAATGCCAAGCGGAACCATGAGCTCCATCTAGTTTTATTGTAAAGAGAAAACTTTTGTGGGTTTTCAACACCATGACAACATAAATATACCAAATAACGGCTTCTTTGACTCTTACATCTAGAAACAGACTGCTGAATATCAGCAAGTAAACCTTTAACAAGATCGAATTGTGCAATTGATACCCATGCCTCTCTAAAATTATTAAATTTAAAATGAATATTAAACAAAGTTTGTACAAATTTTAACAAACAATCAATTGAACTGAATTTTTGGCCAAATTTTGGCCAAAAATTTAGTTCGACTTTGATTACTACTTTGAATTAGGTAGCAAAACTTATAATAACATACCTGATTAGATTTAAGATATGTGCTATGCATGTCATATGAATAATTTGGGGCATTACAGGTTTCAAAATGTTTTGAAAACATTTTTTCATATACGATGCCGAGTCTGAAACAAAAAGTCTAGTAGTATTAAATGGAATAGACCATTCAATTAAAGTTCAAAGGATAATTTGCCCTACTGTAATATTATTAACATCGTTAAGAAAGTCCACTAAAACTAATTTAGTTACATTTTGATGGCTAAATAATATATTGATTACACTTCTGGCACAATCATCCGTCATTTCATCAACAATAAACAAAACTGGTTTATTGAAAAATTCTGATTTAATAGCCATGATATGTTTTTCATATACTGGCTTTAAGTAACTCTGTCTTAATGTTTCAGCCGAAGGAATAAATCCACCATTAATAAGATTATTCTTAAGCCACGAACGTAAATTATCAACCTTTTTTAATGGTATGTTGGCATTCACAAACACCTCAACCAAACCTAAAATCGTATCCTTTTTTTTTTGCATCGCATCTATTGATGTATGTAATGTTTGTTGTCTTAATCTTATTTCACACTGTTCTTTTGCTTTTTTATTTGCAGCATGTCTAGTACTGCTTATGTGGGTTGTAATAGTTGATTTTGTACTAAAATTAACAGGTAGGTCACAAAATCAGAACATCAAAAGTCCGTGATCCTCAAAAAAATGTTTCTGAAATTCATTTGCACGGCTTGTTGCTGTAACTTGGCGTGGCATTTAAAACAAGCTACTTTAAAAAAAAAATTTTAATTGATAATTAATAATTGTATACTATACGATGTAATAAATGTTAAATATATTATCTTATAATATCCTACCTTTTTTTTTTTTTTTTTTTTTAAATCTCCAAATGAAAACGTCAAGCAGGTGTTGTTAGTTTAGTAGTTTATCTTGCTTATATTTGTTTGTTGCTCATACATTACAAAAAAATCCAACAAGTATTTTCCAAATAACTATAAATTTGGAATATTGAAATATCCTTTATCTTTGTATTTAAAATTCGCTCACCCTTTAAATTTTGGGGTACAGAAAAAATTAACCCAGATGATTAATCAAATTATTCAAATTTACAGTAATTATCCAAATTCGAATAATTCGAATTTTGCGAACTCAAATCATAACCCAGTTACACACGGGTTCATATACCCACATAATAATTTCTTGTTATCTGGCATGATTTGACGGATACATGGGTATTGGCAGGATAATAGCAAAAGCACGTGGCCGAAGGCCTCGTGCGTTGCAATTATACTGTCGATGTCCATGATCCGTATACCATGCCAGATAATTTATATTATGCGTTAACGACGTGTAAACTAAGATCCTTTTTTTTGAAGATCAAATTCTATAATTACATATTAATATTATTGGTCATATTTAAATAAGTAAAAGTTTATTACTAAATTATTTGTTTTGACGCTGGCTCTAATTTATAATATAATAGTTTGGCTTTATGTAATTTGATAAATAGCGGTAGTTTAATTTTAACAATACTTTTAACTATAGTTATATCAACAATTTTAACATGTCAAAATCAATTTTATCATGTGATAAACCCCAAACATAGTGATAAACCGTTAGTCAGCATGGTACGTAGAAATAATAATTTTCCCTAAATATATATATATAATTAATTATATGGCAATTGCTAATTTTAACCGGAGGGAAATCACCCGGGGGTGCTATATCTCAAAAACGTACTAAGTAAACGGGGTACTCTAAGTAAAAATGTTCAGGACCCCTGAAAACCTCACAAAAACTGAGATTGGGACCTTATATTAGTTCTACATTATATTATATAAAAAAATAATAATTCTCAATACCCGCACCCTAACCCTATAAATAATTAGGGGAGGGGATTTCCCCCGGTTAAATGTAGTTATTTTCTTATGATAATATATAAATTATATTAATCGTTTATATACCGGGTTGGTTAAAAGTCCCTACTTCCGCTAATATTAAACGTTGCTTATATTTATATACACAAGTACGTAAGTTAAAAGTTTTCAGATGGTTCTTTCTGTTAAACACTAAATAACGTATGCAAATACAATGTAGATTTATTAAAAAAAATTTATTATTAGCAGAGATGGCAAAAGGTCCTGTTTAGGGACCTTTAACCAACCCGGCATATTTATAAAAAAAGCTTTGTAAAAATTTAAACTTGACTTGTACGTAAATATTAGCGTTGCAAACTTAATTAAATTAATTAATTTTGTATTATAAAAACAAAAATATCAAAATTAATTATATTTTTGCAATTTTAATAATTATTGTGGTTTTCAAAGCCCGATAATGTTTATTTAAACTATGTACTGTACGGAGCGTAGCGGAGGCAGGGACCCTGAAAAATTTTGAAAAGATTATATCACAATAAATCGCAATTTTTAGTGGATATCGCACTATAACACAATTTTATGACTTTTTCATGCGTAGTAGGTTACACGATAAAATTTAATTGGTTAGCTATTTTAGTTCACCAATCAAATTGCATATAAATTCGTGTAACTTAGTCTATATAAAAGAATTTATAGCGAGACAATTTTTGATCAATTGTCAATTTTAAAGGATGAGCGAATTTTAAATACAAATCAATTTAATATATGGGGGTGAGTCAATAGAAATAAAGAAAATTTTTTATAATAAAAATTTTTTATAACTTTAAACAAGAATAATTTGACAAAAAATTGACTAAATTTAATAAATTTTTTTTTAAATAATTTTTACAAATTTGTAGAATTAACTTAAAAAAAATTTTGTTGAATTTGATCAAGTTTTTGTTAAGTTATTCTTGTTTAAAATTTTAAAAAAAATTTATTAAAAAATATTTGCTTGTTTCTATTGACTCAACCCCATATAATAAAAATGACGAAAAATTACGAAATTGATTGTAATACTAACTTCCATTTGGGCCACCAGAGTAAGTTCCTCTATCAATAGCGTCTAATAACTATTATTTAATTAGATTAAATATAAATTAAATTAGAATATTAAAAAGTGATAAAATTATATCAAACCTTTTTCTCATTCAAGCGAGTATCTAGCGCAGAATTAGCTAATGATAAAGCTTTATCTCTCATTTCTTTTCCGTCATCTCCTTGCAAACCTTTTGAATCCTCCTCTCCAACAACAGGATCATTCGGAAAAAACTTACATAATATAGTGTTTACTACGGCTTGTACACTAAAATCAGCAACTTTTTAAGTGTGAAATAAAAAAAAACATTAATTTACTGAAAGAATATATTTTTAAATTAAATAAATTCAAAGATTTTATCTAATTACTTGTTACAGGTGTTTTATCCTTTTTAATAAGAGTATCACTCGTTACAAGGTTATTAAAAACACTCTGACAAACTTTACTAGCACGTAAAACTGCGTCAATTGCAATAACTCGTTCATCGCGCAAATCTGCGTCAATTGCAACAGCTCTAATTTCTTCTATTATAAGAGAAGAAGGAATTAATTTTTTTTAATTTACAAACGATATCTGATAAATAAACTTTAAATTTTAAATTATAACTTACCTGTCATAATGTAATAAATGTTTAAAAAACAAATATTCATGAAAAAATGAAAGAATCAATATTTATAATCCTCTGGGAATTGTTGTACGTTTACTAAAATTCTTTATCAAACATTCATGCAAACTTTGTCACATCGTTTATTCTTAATTAGTCCATATTGTGAATAGCTTTCTCATTGATAAATCTTGCTTATTTTGTAATTACAGTAGTAATTCTCAATTGAAACTTTCCTAATTGTACTGTGCAATCGATATTTAACGGGTTTGGGCCAAAATTCCGAAAACGTTGGCCAATTTTTTTTTTAGGAATCTCGATCCTGTTGGGATTCTTTTTCAGGATTTTGACCAAATCCCATATTTATAAGGTGTAACATGAAATCTTTTTACAAAAACTAGATATAAACATTGAAATCTACATAATTAACATCAATAAAGTGTATATGTAAATACTTTTATTGAAGTCGATAATTTAAATTATCTGCTTGGCGTAATCTGTAACCTAAGATCAAGTTATGCATTAAAAATATCTCTATAAGGTGTAATTGTGGTTTTTAGATTTCTTGCACCACTATATAGCATGGTATGGTTAAAAATGCGTCTATCTCTCCTCTGGCAGAGTATACACCACATCGCTCTGGATCACCCTAGGCGTAGGCGAAAAAATGATATTCGAACAAAAATCGGTCAATAAAGAATCCGAATCAGATGGAAATTTTAACCTGGTGGCGATTTCTAACTACAGGGAGAATTTCCAAATTCTTCAATTCTCCACATGAGATACAATCGACTCCGCTTATATTAAACTCCGGACTTACATGTAAAAAATTTTAAAAAGTTCGGTTTAAAAAAGTTTATTGTTTTTAATCGAACTTTTAATAAAATTTATAAATATTATAAGCTTTGTGTTCTGTTCTAGAATTCATTAAGTGTTCGGTTTATCCAGGTTCGGTTTAGCGAGAGGATTGTATATGGAAATTGCTTTCCACGTCCTTTGAAAGCAGCTGTAAGGTTAATCGATTTTAACTGATTGCGTTATATCGACATATGTATATAACAACTTCTGGCTATATTGACATTTTTAAATTTTTGAACATATATACTTAGTATGAAAATGCCTTTGGTTAAACCTGGATATATCGGACAACTACATCAGAAAATTTTTAAATAGGTTGGACATCGATTACCAGCTGCAGAGACGATTGCCATCGATTAGGAAAATCGACAATAATCGATATTGGTAGTTAATCGATGCACAATCGATTAAAAAATAATCAATTTTAATTTAGTTTTG